ATGAAGCCCAAGTAAGGTTCAGCTTTTCTTGTAGGCTTTTCGTGACATTTTTGTTTTTGCGTTGATGTTTTCTGTTCTGTTTTTTCTTTGTTTTGTTTTTTTGTTAATTGTACCACCTGTTTTCTTTTAACTGTGTTTGGATGGTGACCTGGAATGCCCTGGAAGGGGCTTGTAGATTAAATTAATAATTATTATTAAGCCTGAAGCTTTTGCGAACACTAACTGCTCTTTGGAGCTGTTAATAATTCACTCCTTGACTAAGGCCCAAGTTTCAGCCAAAGAAATTCAGCCCCAAAGTTTGACATTACTCCCACAATCAACATAAATGTATTTATTTTTACACCGCCTGTGCGATTTTTATCTTATTTTATTGTATTTTATTTTTTGTCATCTGCAACCTCACTGCTTTTCTTCAACCTCAAATCTCGCTTTGGCTGTTTATGAAGACTCAGCTAATTTCCAACAATTTAATAATCATTATAATAATTTCACCTATTTTCTCTATTTTTCTATATATTTTTTATGAGTGCAGTCTTCCACGTTTGATTTCTTTCATGTGTTTAAAAGCATTGAAGTCATTAATGTTTAATGGGGGCGTCAAGTCTGTTCTGCGCATGTGTGAGCAGGTGGTCACATACGTTGTTGCTGTTGTTTTTTTTAAGAAATGATTTGGGGAATTGATAATCGAAATAAACTGTGAATAATTTATTTAAATTGTCTGTTCAAAACATTAGCGAAAATGTCCAAAAATAATTCCTGGCTTCTTATTGGAAATGCACTAGATATACGATTTACATTTTAAATTAGGAAAAATAAAAAAATGCTTTTACTAAATCATAACTTCTCTTAACACAGTAAAACTATTATTTTTAGCGGTCGTGAGGACGCCTGCCTATTGATGCTGGCACGTATTCACCCCTTTCTTTTTCTTCTACGTCCATTTTTTTTTTTAACAATTTCATTGCCGATTCGTTTGTATGTGTAGGGGAAAAACACTTAAAACACTAACGGATACTATAAAATTGACTCTGTTATTAATGTTCCATCACACAAAAAAATAATAATATAACTACAGCGGCCATGTATTTACGTTGACAGATCAAGTTTGCGTCCGAGCGTGAGCGTGAGTGAGTTTACGGTGACGTCTAATTCGTGCGACATCTCTTATTTTTGAAAGGCCGACACTTGGCGTAAATGTACAGTTAAAATATTCCATTCGAGGGTCCCCAGGCGGAGCTCCAACAGTCCCTGGCGTCATTAAAATTTCATCACTAGCCCCTCTGTGTGTGCGTGTGAGAGACAGAGTGGGAAAGGGAGAGAGAAAGGGGGTATATTGTGGCCAGAAGAGTCAAAATAAATAAAATACGCATCGAAAAAAGCAAAATAGAGTGTACAATTATGACGAAGAGAAACATGGCTGCTGCCCTTTGTGGTTTATTTTTATTTCCTGCTTGGACGTGTTCGACGTATGCGTACATACGTGCGCGATGTGCGCATGCGTCTAAATGAAATCGCTTATTGGATTTTGTTCCCCCCTCATCAGGCCTTTTTACCTGTGTATGTGTGTGTGTGTGTGTGTGTGTGGGGGGGGGGGTCATACTGAGACGTTAAAATGTATTTGAACTAATACTGTTGTTTGCGTCTTATTTTTGCAGGCATGGTTACATTTTAGACAATAAAACAACATAACGATTTCACTCTGCTTTCTTCAACATGCATGTAATTGATTGTTTTGGCGTAAAGGATGTATTTTAAAAGACAGTAAATGGAGGTGCACTGCTACAAAAGAAATGTCTACATGTCACTCCTAAATGCTAAATGTCATATTCGTGTGGAAGGTCTTGAATTAAAGCAGGGTGTCGACACATTCTTAATATTGAGTGGTTTGTTCAAAACAAGTCAATAAAAAAATCTGTGGTGGTGTGTGACGGCTGCAAAAAAAAAAAAAAAATCTCTCTCCAAATACTTCTGCTCCAATGAGGGAAAGTGCTGGCCTGTGTGTGTGTGTGCGTGTGTGTGTGTGTGCGTGTGTGTGTGTGTGTGTGTGTGTGTGTGTGCGCGCGTGCGCGTGTGTGTGTGAGAGAGAGAGACAACATTCCCGCCCCTCACGTGGGCTCTAACCATCAACCGTGCAGCTTGTCATCACTGTTAATTTCACGTCCCGATGCGACCCTCTTTCACAAGCGCGCTCACCCACACACACACACACACACACACACACACACACACACACACACACACACACACACACACACGCACGTACTCTCTACGGCCCTCCCTGACCAGCAGTAATTAACCGCAGCAGCTAATGGCTCCTTAAGTGGCGCTTCATAATGATCTTCTTTTCATAATTCCATGTGTAATTTAATAATTCCGCCCTTATTAGCGTATTAAGTGAATGGATCGTTTCGGGAAAGGGGGGAGCAGTGTGTGTGTGTGTGTGTGTGTGTGTGTGTGTGTGTGTGTGTGTGTGTGTGTGTGTATGTATGTGTGTTACCAGTAGCATCTTTTAATTGATGTCTGTCTGCTTAACAAAGAGCTTGTTGATGCGTTTCTCAAATATGAAGCCAAACCAAACGCCGTGGTTTCTACTTTTGCCTTTGCAATGGTGATAATTTGGTGACCATGAAAGAAGAAATATTCGGAAGCAGCTCTCGGTGTGTGTCGTTGCAAACGCAAACCAAAAAAGTCACTTTGCAATGAAAATCATGTCTATTTGCTTGGCAATTTTGATTGTGTTGACTATATTTCACGAAGCATTTTAAATCTTAAAACATTTTCATTGGATAGCGGTTTGAAAAGCCCTTTTTCGATTAGATCGTGAGTGTTTCCAGCTCTGCCCCATTCAGGAGATGGATTCGTACAAATTACAAATTAAATGCAGGTGTAGCTAAAATTATGTCCATAAGGGTCTATCATATGATGTTAGCCCCATGGGCGTAAGTGCCAAATTCATTTCAAGTACATATTAATAGACTTCTAGGCAATGTATATCCTTTAGGCTAAAGATGCAGAAAGTCAAGAATATGGCACGATACATGCTTCTTACCGAAAATGCATTTCAGACGTCTGAAATATTTTTTTCTGTTTAAAAAAAAAAAAAACGTGACACTGACACACAAATTAGTGTATATCATGCATACTGTCCTTCAATATAAAGTAAATATTTGTATTTCCAAAATATACCTTGAATGAATTTAAATTCATAAATTAGATGTTAGAATAACCGAGTATCATGTCATGTGTATGTATGTATGTGTGTGTATATATATGACAGAGAGAGAGAGAGGTGTACAGTATCTCAATCATTTCAATAGCTGTGTGAAATGATCTTAAATGGAATTTGTCATTCTTAAAAAAACAAAAAAACATTTCTCCAGATATTAATTTAAACGACATAAAGTTTCTCTTTAGAAAATGAGAATGTGCTAAAAGTGTGCATCATAAATAGAAAAAAAATGTCCTTTTAAAATGGGCACAGAAAAAAAAAAGAAAATCGACAAATCGCTGTTTTGCTTCTGCATGTGTCCCTAATGTTCTGGGCTGAAGCGGCCTTCAAAATGGCTTCTTTTCTAATATCGACACCCTTCCCGCCATTTAGGTCACATGATCACGGTGCCAAATATGGTGTCCCATGCAAAGCGCTCGTCGTGGCTATTCAGTCGCTCTCCTTGTACGTTGAAACTCCTCCATAATCTCGGAAGGGTGGATTTAAAGACAGAAAGGTGGTTTAGGGGGAGGGGGGGGGGGCTCTCGTTGGCAGGCGAGCTGTTTTCCTGGCGGGCTGACATCTGGCGAAGCCCCCCCCCACCCCCCTTCCCAGACCCAACACCCTCCCAACCACTCTAGGGAGCCTTCTGGGCCTCCGTAGAGCCCCTGATTAAGCCTCTAATAGAATATTAGCATTTGCTCTCAGGTAAAGCATAAGCTCTGCATGGGTCGGCCCGCCAGTCACGTGACACAAAAAAATAAATATCTTCATCCAAGCTGCATTTTAAAAACAAAAATGGCAGCGTCTGATAGGAGCCCAATTCTGTATTTATTTCCTTGATATTCGGAGTTGTGCATGCACACATTGCTGTGTCAAAGCGTTTTCCCCTCCTACCTTATCAATAAATAAACAGACGAATTAATAAATATAAAATAACATTAGCATGTCTGGATGGTTTTTTTTGTTACCACCTTCGAAAATGGCAAAGTTTGTTCTTTAATGAAAGACACATTCCAATTGTTAAATAAAATACCATGAATAAATTATAAGGGGTTGAGGGGGGGATAATAATTTAACCCAGAGTTTTTGTTCGTTCAAAATAATTCAACATACACCAAACAGAAAATACTTCAGCTAAAACCGCAAATACAGGAGGGAAAAAAAAGAAACCCTGCACGAATAGAATAAATGTGCAATCGATGACATTATTTACATTTCGGTCTCCTGCTTCCACGAAGCGATCAATCAAAAGTCATCAAACGAGGTGATTGGTACAAGCAAAACGACGCATATATTGGTACAAATAAATAAATAGCAAAGGGGGAAATAATATCTATATATATATTTATATCGATTGTACCACTTTAGATGATCGCGGTTGGGGGGGGTGTGAATTTGCTCAGAAAACAACACGAAGAAGGAAAAAAGGGAGTGATGGTGTCGGGGATGGGGGAGGGGGGAATCCCAATAAATATGTAATGAAGTAAACATGACCTCACTCCATAAATAGTTCATAAGGAGCAGCAGGCCCACGCTGGCTTGTAAAAACAAAACACTTGAAATGATTTCATAAAATCTGCCGATCCCTGATGAGTTTTCTCAATCAAGTGGAATGAATACGAATAAATTGCACGTTTGGACACGAAAACGAAGGTGTAAATGATGCATTTACAAAGAGGAATATTTGGCAGTCATCGTTCTTCTTGTTATTGTTATGACATCTGTCGTGGACCCTGCAAAGACTCCCAAGTGCTCTCAGTTGCTCCGCGTTCTGTCCCGTTCGCTTCACTTTTTTTTTTTTTCTCGTGAAATTCAAAAGTGGGTGGAATGAAGTCTTTTCAAGTCTTACTCGCACGCTCCACGGGCTCCTCGTCCCCCACGCGCGGTCCTTTTTTTTTCTCTTCTTATGCACAAATAATGAAAAGGAAATGTGTTTCGTCTGTGTGTGTGCGCGCGTGTGTGTGTGTTGTTGTCTTTCGAAATAGGAACTTATGATACAAAGCGTCCGGTTATGGGAAAGGGTTTTTAAACGCAGGCCGAGTACTTCATCCGTTTCTGTTTCTGCCGCTGGTTGCAAAACCAGACGCGCACCACGTTTTTCTTGAGGTCCAGCTTCTCGGCGATGGCGGCGATCTTCTCCGACGACGGCCGGGGCTGGATGGCGAAGTAGGCCTCGAGCGAGCGTTTCTCCGGCGCGGCGATGGACGTGCGCTTGCGCTTCTTCTCGGCGCCGTTGAAGAGCTCGGGCTTGCTGAGCTTCTCGCGGTGCGACTTCTCGGCCTCCTCCAGCCACGCCTGCAGGATGGGCTTGAGCGCGATCATGTTGTTGTGCGACAGGGTCAGCGACTCGAACCTGCAGATGGTGCTCTGGCTCAGCGAGCCCACGCCGGGGATTTTGAGCGAGGCCAGCGCCGAGCCCACGTCGGCCTGCGTCACGCCCAGCTTGATGCGCCGCTGCTTGAAGCGCTCGGCGAAGGCCTCCAGGTCGCGCGGGTCCGCGTCCACGTCGCTCATCCCCATGTGCGGCGGCAGCCCGTGGGCGTGCGCCATGCTCAGCGCCGCCTGGTGCATGTGGTTCATGCCCGCCATGTGCGCCGCCGGGTGGCCCGGCGTGGACACCACCGAGCCGTCCGGGCCCGCCATGGCCCCCAGCGCCAGGCCCGGGGTGATGTGGTCCAGGAGGTCGCCCTCCAGAGCCTGGTGCGGCTGGTGGTGGTGGTGGTGGTGATGGTGGTGGTGGTGGTGGCCGTGGCCGTGGCCGCCCGCGCCGCCTCCCCCGCCTCCTCCGCCGCCTCCGCCGCCTCCCAGCGCGGACGGGTGCGAGATGGGCACCGAGGAGGCGGACGAAGACGACGACGACGTGCACGGCAGCGTGTTCATGGTGTGGTACGTGGCGTCCGGCTTGAAGGGGCTGTGGTGCGGCGGCGGGTGGTGGTGGTGGAGGTGGCTCTTGCTCTGCGTCACGATGTCCACCGCGGCCAGCGCCTCAGCCCGGGCCAGCAGACTCTCGTCCAAGCCGCCGAATATATTGCTCTGCAATTGCAAATGGAACGCACACATGACGGCTGTCAGCTGGGAATTGGCAGCCCCCTTCTTCCACTCCAGTTTAGAACATTTCCACCCAAAAAAAAAAAAAACAAGGTCATAAAAATTCATTACGGGGAGGGGGGCGAAACGCGAGTTTAAACGTTCCACCGCGATGCTGCACGGCGATAATCTACATACCGGCGGCGTTGGGAGGCAGGCGCGCCGCATCGCCTCCGAGCTGGTGCTGATGATGCTGCTGTGACGGGAGGAGGCGCAGGAAGACGCCGAAGAGGAGGACGCCGACGACGAGGAGGAGACCGCGTTGGAGGTGGCGGAAGACGACGACGAAGAAGAAGTGGAGATGTTGTTGTTGGCCACCGAGTGCAGCGACGAGTACTTGGCTTCGGCCAGGCTGGCGTGCGCCATGGCCGAGAAGGGCTGCTTGCTGCTCAGCGACATCATCATCATGTTGGCGGCGGGTCCGAGCAAGCGGCCGTTGCTTGCCTTTTTAACAAAAAAGAAATAAATAAAAAAAATGGGGGGAAAAGGGATGACTCCGACTCCGCCTCTTCTTCTTCTTTCTTGGGATTTCAATCAATGCAGGGGAGGAAAAAAGTTGTCACACGTCTGTTTTTTTTTTTTCAAATCGAACAGGAGTCAGTTTTCCATACGTAGAAAAAAAAATCCCCAAACAAATTAACCTGTTTGGATGAGTCCTTGTTGACGAAAGAATTTCGAAAAAATAGCCGCAAAAATGAGAGTTAGCCGAGTTTTTTTGTTTTTGTTTGTTTGTTTTTTTTTTTCTGAGGAGAAAGTTTTCCAGGTGGCCAGGTTGGTTTCCGAGGCTCCGCCACGATGCCGAATGCTGCTGGGACCCCAAGTGGCGACGCTCTGAGGCGGAGGGCAGACTGATTCTTCGGTCCACGCCCCCTTTCTCTCCCTCACACACCTTCCCTCCCTCTCTTTCCATCACACACACACACACACACACACACACACACACACACACACACACACACGCTCGCAAGGCATACTCACACCTGCTCCGGCTCCCCCTTTTTCATGATTTATTATTCTTCATTAGGCGCCGCATCGTTGGCGCCGCGGGGGAGACTCTGCGCATGCGCGCGGCAATTTAACGGAGCCTCAATTTTCTGCTCCAGCCTTTTTCAACACCCGAGGTATAAAGTTGTGGTCCAACATGAGCGTTTTAATATATCTTCATGTAATGTGAAAATTACGTTTTGTTTTTCTGAACAAAAAAAAAAAAATCTGGTGTTAAAAATGCACAAAAACATGGAAATGGAATTCTCTCTCTCTCACTCTTTCTCTCTCTTTCAGAGATATATGACATTGATATAAATAGGTGTTACTAATAATCGAAAGACTTGAGTGCTCTTATTTACACACCAGAGATGCAATAAGCAAGCAAAAAAAAATCCACATTACACCTATTAAGTATTTTTTTTAACTACCAAGGTTGAATAATAATTTGGCAGTGCAAGACAAAATAGGCTAAGTAAGAAAAAAAATCTGAAATACCCTTGGCGCCATATCAAATGTACTTTATTAGGAGTTGTAGTAGTGTAATTTTTAAAAATGAAAAGTAAACAATACATGTTACAGCCCGTTGTTGTTGTTATGCGTTAAATGACATCATGAACAGGCAGCTCGCGGGTTTCATTTATTCATGCATACCGACAAGTCGAGTCCATCTCTGGGAATCGTCAACATGAGCTTAGTGTGCATGTGAGTGTGTGTTTGTGTGTGTTGTCTCCCCCGGTGAGACAGGGGGCGCTGCAGGCGCCAACCCCTGCACCCTGGGAAGCGGCGATCGATCCAACTTGGGAGAGACATCAAGCCATTCCAATCAGCGTCTGCTCACGTGTGTGTGCGTAATATACATGCCTGCATCGCTGACAAAACTTTGAAGAAAACATTCATATTTCACCCTGTTAACCGCCCTGGATAAAATTTTCATCCGCAAGTGAGGCTGGTAAAAAATAAATAATAATAATAATAATAATAATACTCCATACCTGAGTGTCAACAGAAAGATTTATTTGGGTTTTTGTACCCCTAAAAATAAAAACGACTTTTAATAAAATTTACAAAAAAGCATTTCATGAACATGATATCACCGAACCACACGAATTGCTAAACAAATGTAAGTTTTGCATTTTCACAAAATTTCGAAAAGATGTATCACCCAAAATTTTTCACCCAAATAACACAATACATCTTCTGGTAATGTAAGTGTTATGAAATAACGTGGCTTGTACAGAATTTGTCTTAAATAATAAATCATCTGAGACGGAGTCAAATCCCAAGGGGATTAAGTCGGTTTTTGCTTAGAAAAACAAAGGAGATTCATAGAAAACAGACTTGAAAACAAAATCTTCGAATAATGGGTGTTATTTTCTTGACTAACAGGTTATTTTGGGACAATTCCCAAAAGGATTTGGTGGGATTTTGAAACAAAAAAAAAAAAAGAGTCGAAGAAACAAATCATTGTTGAACAAATGAATGTTATGATGACCACAACACTAATTGCTTAAAAATTGACCATTTATATTATATATATACACACACAATTACAATACATACATTACTATATATATATATATATATATAAAACAAATGTGATTTCAAAACACACCTGATCATGTTTATAGGTGTCACCAAATAATAATATAGCTTGCGCAGGGATTGTCTTGAATAATACATAACACTCGATTCCCAAAAGGATTTTGAAGGATTTTGCACACAAAAAAAGGGATTCATAGAAAACAGACTTGAAAACACCTCATCTTGTAATGAACGCTTGTTATGGAAATAATATCGCTTGTACAGGATTTGTCTTGGCTAACACATCAGCTTGCGCCTTTCCCGAGAGGATTAAGTAGGATTTTGCACCCCATAAAAAGTGATTCTTTGGGGTGGGGAAATCTCTTAAAAAGCAGGAAAAAAATATATAAACTAAGTGATTCGTAGAAAAAGTGATTCACTTTTTTTTCTTTTTGTGACGAGAACAAAATTTTGCATCCATACAAAAGATGGATCAGGGACGGCGCTATGTGGTGGCCAGGGGTGGCCGCGGCCACCGCCACACCTTGGGGAAAGAAGCTTTGAATGTTTTTATTTTCTACCATTTACATATGAATACAGCATTCGAGACCCCTTGATGCCCTGCAATGTATTTTTGTAATATGAACTGCATATTTCGAGAATAAAAATACAATCGATCCGAATGCAAACTCTCAAAGAATCTGTGTTTAGTAAAGCAAAATGGATTCTTTGAGTCGACGCCAACTCAAATCAAAGTTATTTCTTTCACGCCATAGCACGCAAACACCCGAGACTGAGAAGTCCTTGTTTATCAGAGCAGCCAGAGTCACGGTTTCCTGAAATAAAAGCCAAACAGACACCAATCTTGTGCACAAAGACAATTTAAGCAGGAAGAAAAGTAAAAGCGACGTTGAGAATTGTGAAGAATGAAAAGATTTTTGCATCATTGTGCTTTTCTTTGATCTGATTTGCATGAATGAACTATTGACGGCAGTATGCAGAATGCCAAGTAGACTATGAGACACAAAAGTCAAGAAACTGATCATAAAATGACCCCATCTCGAAAAATTAAGATCAGCAAAATGCTCTTTCCTTCAACTTGTCCCTGCTTGATTCAGAGTGCGAGTGTGAGGAGAAATTTGCAAGATTTGACAAAAACAACCCGAATTCTCGTATGTATTTGAAATGGGAGCAGAACGTAGCATTTCTTAATCCTTTTAGTTGTTGGTTATTTTGACATTGTGTTGTGATGTGACATTTTTTTCATGTTTTTTACAAATTGTGGGGGCGTGATAAAGAGAAGAAAATATCTGATTGCTAAAACTAAATTCAAATCACGCCAAGAAAGGCCTCCAGGAAAGGCGAGCCCATCAACATGCGATGCAATTGTACCTTCTCGTCTGTGTCGATCATCTGCGAGGCGCCGTCACACATGTACAGTAATTGAGAGGTTGTTTTTTTTTTTTCATTGCGATGTGTGCTCTCTTACCTTGCTTTAAAAAAAAAAAAAAAAATCACACACACATTAAAAAACTTTTCTTTCTTTTTTTTTTTAAAGCTAAACCTCGGTGGAGTTCAGCTCGGAGAAAGAAGAAGAAAAGTACACAACGCAGACTTCAAGGCTCTCTGGCAGCGGAAAAATGCAGCGTATGAAAATAAAAGTAAAATAGAGCGAGCGCAAGCAGCAAAGGCTCCGACAACTCAGGTGACTTGTTTGCTTTTTTTTTTCTCTATCTTCTACACTCTCTCGCTGCTGTATGCTTTGCACAAAGAGGTTCGCCGACTGCTATTCCGCGCTCCCTCTCCTCCGCCGTCCTCATCGTCCCCCAGGAGCTCTCCATGTTAACAATCCCAATTACACACGAGACCACCAGAGACAGCTGTTTTTATTACCGAATCTCCGCTTGCTCGGCTCACCAAGGAAGAGGGAGGGAGAGAAAGGGAAGTGGATCAAGTCTCCCGACTGCTTCCCGCCTCCCTCCTCACAACCTCGGCGCGGGAGGTCAGGAAACGGCTTTAATGTGTTGTTTAAATGCATTGGACCAAAATAAGAACGGATTGTGGAAAACGTCGCCGGACCCCTCTCGAGTACTTGGCCCGTTGCAGATAACGACGTCGCAAATCACGGTTGGAAGAACGCGTAGGCCTTGAATTGGCATCTTTTTCTCACATCGGGGGAAAACGTTGCCACTTGTGGTGCTCTGGCTCCTTCTAGTGGTATAAGAAGGACGCACAGCTGAAGTTCAGCTCAGTTGTCTTTCGCTTTTTAAGACACGCATTTCAACATTTGGTATCGTTAGACTTTTATTTCGGTACACGTTTGAAGTCATTTTTATATGAGATGCATTTGAATTGACCGATTGTTTTAAAACACCCGACCCCCACGTATTCCTAGCCCAGCGCTTGCCAAATTGTAACATTACAACCATACGGTGCAAAATTGGCATTGTCACTGTATGTAGTGAATTCTCTGGTTTTTGGGTCAGTAAACAACACAGTCATCATTCTCGGACAAAATGCTCCACGGGTCGGGGCTAGCGAAATTTCCCGCTAGCACAGGCCACTTCAGGCAGTGTCACATGATTGCTTGAATGAGTTAAACATGTCGAACATTTTAAATTTTGGAAGGGAATGATGTGAACCATTTTAATTCTTCTCTTTTTTTTTTTTTTTAATTTATTTTTGTCCGGTCACATCATTGGAAATGAAACGGAGGGGAATTTGCTGGTGAAATCTGGTGAATCTGCGCCGCGTGCCCACAGGCCGCTGGGGCAGCAGATGATAAGGTCAAGTCTCATAATAGTGTCACATAGCTGTAGGTAGTATGGATCAATATGAAGGTGTATAATACCCGACGGACACTCAAATAAAAACCTCTCTGCTCCCCCCCCCCAAAAAAAAAGAATTAAATATTTTCTTACACTCTCTGCTTTTGGCGGCCATCATATTGCCTTTGTGAGATATGGAAGTCACTCTACGATATAATAACGCGCATGTCTACTCGGTGACATGAACAATATTTAAATAACCAACGAAAACAAGTTTTATTGCTAATGTTTTACTATCTCCACGGTCTCCATCATGCTAGCACAGGCCACTTAAGTTGTTTGGTAGGGTTTGTGTACATTGACAGTGCGCTTTGAAGTTTTCCCTACAGTTCAGCCCCTGAAGCCATTTTCACTGAGGATCAGGAAATTTGGTGCACACGTCTATCGTGATTAAACATGGCCGCCACCATCGAAAACTATCGTCCACCACCATCGACGAAAAGTTGTTCGTGCATGGCCGCCGCAGTATAAGGATCGTCCGCATTGCCTCAGATTCCCGGGACAGATTTTGGCCCTACTCTGTCCCTCCTTGCAAAGCGTCATGACGTGACATAAAACTGGAATAAATCCTTCGCCCCAAAGCCAGTTTCACTTCCCAACGTGAAATGTGACAGTCACGTCCATCATGACTTGACTCATAAAGAAGTCTCAAGAAGTCAGAAAAAACACAAGCCTGACATTTTGGTTTCGATTCATTTCAACCGTCACGTTGGGGCCATTTGGGTTATTTTCAGGAGTCTTTCAAAATCCAGATTTTGCTCTGTCCATCCTAAAATTGAACCCCCCCCCCCTCCCCGAATCATACCTGTCAGATAGATCACGCTAAATTGGGAGGAATGTAAACCATTCGTCACTGCGTAACAAGTGAATCTCACATCGCGGTCAGGATGCTTCCATGCACTGTCAAGCGCGTCATGCCGCGAACTGCGTTTAATGGCGCGGGGTTAACGAGGCATAACACGTTCCTTCCGACTGAACCTGACCTCGGACGACGACACTCGCTACGGCGAGGGGAAAGGCGCCTTGTGAAGGAGTCACACCTTCCCGCGCATAAAGCATGTCAAGTGCCACGCAAAGTGATTAATGGCGCGCAAGAGTCGGGCTGAGACCGCAGCGAACATCCCTCATTAGTTTGACTATCCGGCGCGGTAATACATTGCTTGTCAGCGGCGTTGCTAATTGACCTCCTTTCCCCCTTTCTTCTGCACAAATGAAAAGATTTCCTCCGCCGTGTGATGGCGCGTGTCACGATGTGAACCGACAAATTAAAAAGCTCTCGCCTGTCATGCTGTCATCGCCGCCTCATCAGCTATAATGATCAGTTTTCTTCCATTGCACTGCGAGAGAGAGAAAGTGTGTGTGTGTGTGTGTGTGTGTGTGTGTGTGTGTGTGTGTGTGTGTGTGTGTCTCGCCAAGCGTCGCCGCTGTTCATCGTCACTTTTACCTGCGTTTGTTTATTGTCTATCAAAGATGATGAAGCGTCGTTAGCGATCGAAAGCGATGCTAGTTTTCTGTCTATTTTCATTCATCCACAGCCGCGTATGTCCCCCAAGGGTTGTACGATTCAGAATTCGACCGGCAGGGGAAAATACGACTCAAACAGCTTACGCATCACAGCATGCCGTATTTCTTTTCCAGAGGAGTGGAAGAAAAAACAAAATTTCCCCAATTTTTTTTTTTGCTGGAGGAGTAATTCATCACTTGTCCCAATACTTTTGGCAATATGGTGGACCTGACTAGTCGCGAGGGACCAGGCCGGTCCGCAAATAATGAAAATCATATGTAGAACTGATGCCCTTTGAAATGAATTGGCAAAAAAAAAAAAAAAAAAAGAACTCCAAACTGTAAAAAATGTATTTTCCACCCAAAAAAATCTAGGGAAAGAAAAATATTTTAAAAATTTATATTTAAAAAAAGGTCAGAGTTCCCTTGTCTCAATCCTTTTGTCCATGTAGTACATTAAATAAATGATTTCGAATGAAGTTGACTGGGACATCCAACCAAAGTGGAGTCCCTCAGGGAAATGTACCAGCTCCATTCATTTTCTATCAAGGTTGCCCCTCAAAATCAAATTGTGATAGCTGCATAGGAGGGACAAATTCCACATTTTATTCCCTCTTCATTTCCTTTAGCCCCCTGTGGCCATTAGCCTTAGCATGCTAACATCACGCTAACGCTACCTGCCAACTCTGTGAGCGTGACGTTATCTCGAATGTGCGCGGCATACAGCCGGTGGTGTTGACACGTGGTGATCAAAGCGAGCCGTTCAGGAGGTTGGACAGGGCCACGAAGACGCAGGTCTGTAACGCTAATGATGTTCAAACGCTCGACTGGTTTGCTGGGAATGAGTCACCCTCGCACACACACCTTCCACCCCCGCATCATCCACTCGTGTCCTCCCCTCCAGGAGGTAATGGTGCATGCTTGGTTGGGTGACAGGTGTCAAGTGGGCCTCCTTACACCATTCATCTAGCTAAATAGAAAGCAAAGCAGGACTTTGTTTATTGCTAAACATGTCAATAGCTCAGTGTTCTCTCATCATGTCACTTATAGCATTTTAGCCTCACAAAAGCATCCCATTTGTGCTATGTTGACTTGTTATTCAGAAAATAGCAACTATCGTCATCGTGGCATCTCCGAAATATCTGCATTCATGGACTGTCATCCTCTCAGTCCAGCCAGGAGGCATACGATATTGTTAGCATTAGCATCAGTGCTAACGTGGCTGCTATGAATTGTGCGAGTGGTCGTGAATAAAGAGCAGATCATGTCATGATGTCGTCGCGCTTGATTTTGGTAGCTTCTGCTCGTGCGTTAGCATGGATGCTAACATTGCCATTCAATGTTGTTTGCATGGCATGGACAAACTTCTAGAATCGTGGCCCTTAGCACCTTTTTTTTGGATGACAAGTCTTGTTCACAATTCACTTACTGTTCTGTCATATGTCATATTATTATATTGATTTCACTTTATATTTGCGCTAATAATACAACGTATTGTTTACCATATGATCCAGCACAATATAAAACAAGCTAGGAGCAACCATACGTTAAAAATCAACTGACGATGAACAAAAAAAACATCATATAAAATTGCAATCATCACAGCATTTTTCAAATAATTTTTCTGTAATGTTATTTTATATTTATTTGTTGACTTCACATCTGGCTGTACTGCCGTTCCATTGCACCACTCAAGGGGTGAGTAATTAAAGGATCCAACACACAGAGACAAGCAGGTTAGCACCCTCCATATAGCATGTGTGTGTGTGTGTGTGTGTGTGTGTGTGTGTGTGTGTGTGTGTGTGTGTGTGTGTGTGTGCGTGTGTGCGTGTGTGTGTGTGTGTGTGTGAGACCACACCCTTAACCATGTCCGCCTGTCTAAGCACAATCCTGCAGGGACCTGCCATGCACTCTCTCTCTCTCTCTCTCTCTCGCTCTCTCTCTCTCTCTCTGTCTCTCTCTCCCT